TCGAAAGAATTTCGATGTAAAACTCTATTGATGCAAACAATATATAATCTATATTCAAAATATTTTATGCATAATTTGAAGAAAATTTTAATAAAATTATCAAATAATATAAGAAAAAAGTTATACTTCGCATGAATGAAAATATAAAAGATATAATAAATAAATAAAAGAATATATCCCTAATAAAACTCATTGCACACAAAATTTAACATAGCATTATCTTTTTATTACACATCTACATTATTTAATCTCATTTATTTGTGTTTCACAATGAAACAATATGTTATGTTGATCAATTTTTTATTGTTAATATTGATCAATATTTTTTCTTTTAATAGTGAAATATATAACAAAATGATCATGATGATGAATAGTATTTTGGTTGTGATATATAAAAAGTTCATTTTTAATTGAATGAAGCGCACAAACGTTTCTTTTAATTGATTATTCTATATACGATGCGGTATATTAATCAATATATTTTTTTCTTTCCTATATAAGAAATCTTTGATTGCATGATGTTATTGTCTCATGAGATTTTGTTTTCTTTCTTTCTTTTATTTAATCATATAAATAATTTTGATATTTCTAATTCATATATTTTTTTTTATTATATTAAAATGTTTTAGTTAGTTCAAATAAGATAAATTGTTTTGAACTTGATACGACATAATTATTCAAAATATCAAAAAAATTTCATAGCAATCTTAAACTTATAAAATGATTGATATGTTTTATTAATTGATCAAAATTTAAATTTGTTTATAATTAGAGTAAGAAAAAAGAAAAATAGAATATCAATTAAAACCACATTAAGTAGCATATTATAAGCAATATTTATCAAATTGTATGTTCTTTTTTTCTTTTTTTTTACTATTATTATTGATTGAAATAGAAAAAAAAAATAAAATAAAAGTTTGTTATATTATAAGAAATTATTATATTTAAAATAATCATTTTGTATAATTTTTTATCTTATGTAAAGTCAAAATTTTCATTGATATCAAGTATGTAAACATCAATGAGTAATAATTTTTTTTCTTTTTTCTATTGAGAAAAATTTATGATTAATCATAAAAGTACAATATTTGTTAAAGAATCGTTAATAATCGTCTATGATTTATTTCATTCTGTTATCAAAAAGAATATATATATATATATCTTGTTAACAAGATTAACAATTTGAGTAATATTGATTAAAAGTAAGTTTCGAAAGCTTGATATTAATCCTATTATTTTATAAAAGAAAAAAAAAGTGAATTTCATGATAGATTTAGAAGCACACTTACTTCATTATTAAAACATTTTTCTAGAAGAAAAAGCTTAAATATACGCTGATATTACTTCTAATGAGCTTCAAAACATGTTTTACGATCATAATCAATTCTGGTCATAAAAATCTTAGATTTATCACTCAATGAATTCTTTCTATTTTCAAATAAAAACTTTCTAAAATCTATAAGTTATATTATCACTTGAACAAGTAGGTTACAGTTTTTAATTTCATCTGCGTAAAATAACCATAAGTCCGCTGTTTTCATTCATGATTTAATAAAAAAATGTCTTCCACAAGAATTACTACGACATTGTACAATATTTACCCTTTTATAGATATCAGATATTGATATATGACTAGATATCAAAATTACTTATTAGCATATTTCAAATATGTTAATAAGCTAAAAAGGTTTAGATATCTATATATAGACAATAGAATAACTAATATCAGAACGAGAAAGTCAAATCAAATTGATATTTTTTTTTTTCTTCAAGAAAAGCTAGAAGTAATTCTATATAATAATGAATACTTTTCAATGTCTATAGTTTTCTTTTGTAACGGTTAATTGATAGGAAATGATTGGAACTTCGATCAAAATCTATTTGTCTAAATATTTACAAAATCATTGCTGACAAATGATGAGTTTATGCGTATGGAGTGTTGATAGAAAGAAAGATATATATAGTTACATGATGAGGGCATCATACTATCATACATACAAGATTCATTTGTAGATAAATAGCTATTATATAGTTTACAAAACAAACCCTCAAACAATTAAACATATAACATTTATTCTTCAATTCTAGTTAATCAATATATAATAGAATTTCATAAAAAAGAAAAGAAACAGCTTCTTTTTGTTTTATTTTTCTATTAATAAATGAAGATATATAGTTATGAGTTTTATTGATATAAAGTAGAAAATACTTAAAACAATAATTATTCGAAAATGTCAATAATAATTATATTCGAAAGTACATAGAAAAAAAAAACAAAAAAAAGTCAATTGTAACTTTTTAACATCAATTTTATTTCTCACGTATATGACAAGTTGACATAAATGAATACTTTTACTTCTATATAAAGATCATTCAACCATTCTAATTTAATAAATGTCCTATGTTCGTTTCTTCTCATTCATACTTTTTTTCCTAATGAAGAGATCAGATTGATATATAATATACTTGAGTTCTCAATCATGTATAAATCAAGTAAGTTTCTTATTGGTAGATTTTTGTTCATAGATGTCCAATTAATGTTCTATTTCTATAGGAAAACTTTTTTATGTTTATATAGAAAGAAGTAATATAGTAGAATTATTCATTAAATTTAGATTCTATGTAGAACAAAAGACGAAATATATTCATTAACATGATAATATAAGGCTTTCTTTTTTGTTCTATGGGTTTCACACTTATAATGATTATGATTAGATGTTGTCAGAGCATATTTTTAGAAAAAAAATAATCTATAAGAATATTATTCTTTCAACACTCTGAGATAAAACCTTGTGAATATGCATTTACAAGAAAAGCTGACATTTTTCTAGTTTTTTATTGATTACCTCTTGAAATCATCAGACAGATGAATAAACAAAATGATTGTATTAGTGATGCCCTTATTTTACGCAAGGATGCTAGTTATGACACCTGTTTTGTCTGCCAACAAAAAAAAAATGTTTACGCTTATGGTTGTGTTTTTTTACGTCAGATAACAATTGAACAACAGCAGACAGATAATGAGAATCTATCAAGAATATACATAAGAACAATTGTTCTTTTTATTGATTAAATAGAACAAAAGATGTCTTTCAACGATCAAGTCTAATCAATTTTATTTGTCTTATCATTACTATTGAATATCGTTAATATGCTTTCTTTCAATCTAAAATATGTTTTTGTAAATTTCCATCGTCAATCGATTATATTTCTTGTATACATAAATATCTTCTACAGTAATTGTACTATATATATATATATAAGAATGTCAAAATGTTGCGGAAAGACAGCTGATTATTGAATATAATATACTTTGATGTGGTTTATCTTCTTGTTATACACATTTTTTTTTCTTTTTTTTTTTTTTTTTATCGTTCTAACATTCTCTTCTATCCTTTTCTCTTCCCCATTCTTCATTTAATATACGTTCTTGTATAGTAAGCATATAGAGCGCAGAAATCAGTCGCGTATTTTGCTACTACTCTTTCACGCTATGCACGTACATACTACATGAATCTGTCAGCACAATTGCATCGTCCTCAAATTGATTTAATTTATATGTGATAGACACTGTATCTATAGGGGTTTTTTTCTTCAACACACACGTTAGAAAACGAAGAAGAGAAAGAAAGGTAAGTTTTGTCTCTCTCTCTCTCTTTTTCTCAGCGAATATATATATACGCGCATCCATATACACATTAAGATACGCTTTTGAGCTGATTGATATTGAGTGAAAGTATGTAGGTGTGATGTAAGGTATAGTGACAAGTTTTATGTTTATCATATAGACACAATTTATCACAAAATTATTGCCACATATATATATATATTGGTTAGTCAAAAAGAAGATAAACATTTTCATACTATAATAAAATATGAACAATGACTCTGTATTACTCTTGATTTCCTGTCCGATTTTCTTGAGGGGTCAATTTTTATTCTCAAGTATATATATTGAGATTGAGAGAAAAGTACTTAATCTACAGATGACGAGATGATGTAATTCTATTAACTAACAATTATCAATTGAGTTCAGTTTTACTTATAGAGTCAAATTGATAAGAGATAGAATAAGATTAAGATGAAATGTCGAAGTTCGCATATGATCATTTATCGTCTTTTCTCTCTTTGCATAAAAAAAAATAAAGGTTACAAAAATTACATCTATTAATGACGAACGTCTGATACATTGTGGCGACCTTGTCATGTTAGAATGTAGTTTACGATATTAATACACATCCGTAGTCTTAGAGTATTATGATAAAAATAGTAATGTTTCAGACGAAGAAAAAAATGTCACCACATATTATTCTATTATAATCAAATAACAAACTTTATACGTTCTCATATATTTGTCTAAAAAGAATATCGAAAATCAATTGTATATCTTGATTTTATATATATATATATATATATTTATTTTTCATTGTTTTTATAATAATCAAAATATTTTCACTAAAAGGTAAATTTATAGGACGAGTGAAGTGCTACTTATCATATATATGTGTGCTTTTCTTTCTTATGTAACATTCAAACAAGAAAAAAAGTACTTTTTATGAATTAACTATATCTCAAGTCTATCTATTAGGTTTTTATATATATATATGTCTAGTTATGATTATAATGTTACCATTTGTATTCTCTTCTTTCATTATTCTAATATTTCATAGCTATGACGAACAATATTTAGTGAACTAAGTAAAATATTCTGGTTTCGTTCTTTTTTTTTTTTTGTTCTTTAGGAGCAGGAAAAGAAGGGCTTAAAAGGTGTTTAATATATCTTTTTATCACTCTTTTGATATGAATATGAGTATAGAAATTCAACGATCGGATGTATCATATTGACAGACCACTTGAAAATCGTAGAAGAAAAAAAAAGACGTGCGAATTTTTTTTTTTTTTTTACTCTTGATCAAATATTAAGATGAACACGAATATATTATATGATGACGGTTATATGTATTAATAATTCTGATTTTAGTTAAAAGAAAATCTATACAATGAATTTTATTATTAAACTTTTATTTGAAATACTATTAATAATTGTTTTAATCAATGCTAATATTGATCAATCAAATATTAAATTTAATGAACTATGTCAGGTAAAATAAAAACAAAAAGAAAAAAATTTTTTTTTTTTTTAAAATAATTTATTTATTCGAAAATAGTCTCTTCATTGTAATTCATCAACAGAAATATGTCGTATAAATCCAAAATGTAATAATACTAGTAAAAATAATCTATTATTAAAATGTATTTATTGTGATTTAAAAAATCCATTAACATCTTCTCAACAATTACCTTTAGCTCCTCGTTTATTAGCTAAATCAAGTGAAACAAAAATTTTAATACAAAATCATACTATAAAATTAAATACAATTAATGATGAATCATCTTATGATGAATATTATGATTATGAAGATGATGAAATATTAGATAAAAATGATTTAAATGAAACAGATGATTATATTAATGATTATATTGAATTATTAGATATAAATAAAAATCGAACACAAACAATACGTAAATCTGGTATTTGTCCAAAAATAAATAAAACTATTAATAAATGTAATATAGAAAAAATTCTTCAACCTGATTGTCGATTTGATACAGATTGTCCAGGAGAATTAAAATGTTGTGAATCAATATGTGGAAAACGTATTTGTAATATACCTATTAAAAGTAAGTTTATATTTTATTATTTTTTCCTATTGTAATTAATTTGAAAATTTGTTTTTTTTTTGTTTTTTTAAATATACACGTCTATCATAGAATAAGAAAAGAAATTTATTTAATTATATTTGACATTAATGACTATTTAGAATATTCTATGGTTATGAGAAGAATATGTAAATTAAATTATCTAATTGAATTGAGTTTATATTTGTGCGAATAATTACTTTCATAGATGAAAAAAAACAACACAGTTATATTCTACATGCAAAAAATACTAATAAGATCTATTTCGATCATCTTTTTAATAAATTATTTCTTATGATGTTATACTTTCAAAAGTGATACAAACTTTATTAGTAGATTAAAGATCGTTTAGACAATAATTTTATAAAATAGTCTTATAATAACAGACATAAGTTTACTGCATCTGTATTATTGAGTTTTCTTTTCGATGGTAATAACGAAGGAAAAACTATTTGAGTAGTTGAAAGGATTCTTGTCAATATTGTTAAACCTAACAAGTTGAATTATAGTTTGTTTTTTTTTTGATGAGAATGTCTGAAAAAATACAACTTCCAAAATTAGTTTTCCGATATTTATGTGAGACTTTTTTGAAAATGATTTTATTTAGTTAAAATAAAAAGAGAAAATCTGAAAGCGTCAAACATAATGAAATTATTGAAATTTTTTTTTTATAAAAACAAAAGAAAAATTCATCTAAGTTTTAAATGAATGTCATAAAACTAGTTTTGAAAATCTTGATTATCCAAACATTTATATCTAAGTAGTCTTATTGAAGTTTTTAAACTCTTTCAAGTTATGATCATTTCTAGACTTTTAAAAATCTTTTTGATTAAAAATAATGAATATAATATAATAGAAAACTCAACATATTATTTCATATCACCGAAAGATTTCTTAATATATATTTAATTAAATAATTATTTTTTTCTTTTTAGCAAAAATTTTTGTATGTCCAACATCATTTCAATGTACTCTTAATTGTCCTCTTGGTTATCAAACTGATTCAAATGGTTGTCTTAAATGTGAATGTCAATCATGTCCATCAATGGATCAATGTAATAAACATTGTCCAAGTGGTTATTTAAAAGATCTATTCGGTTGTGATCTATGTGAATGTAATGATCGATGTCCACCATTTTTTTGTAGTATTCTTTGTCCATCTGGTGTTGGTTTTGCACAATCAGAAAATGGTTGTCCATTATGTCAATGTGCAATACCAAGATTAAAACCAATTGAATATACATCTTCATGTCAAGTATGTTTAATTAAAAGAAAAAAAAGAATTTCTTTTCAATTTTAATTTTGTTAATTAGAAGGATGTTCATTGTCCACCAGGTTTCCGATGTCTAACTGATGTACACAATGTACCTATGTGTCAAGCAGGTATTTATTCTCAAGCACTATCTTGACCGCATACATAGACAATTATAAAGTCTTGCTATGTGCTTGTATGGCACATCAATTTCTTTTTTTTTCTTCTTCTCATTATTATCATTTGATGCAAAAGAAAAAAGGTTAAAAAAAGGAAAGGTTGTCAATCGATAAAAAACAAAAAAACAGTGCATTGCATTTCGATAGCACTCAGAAGAACAAATATTATTTTGGTAGTTAGAAATCTTGCTAGCAAATAGAAATCTTTACATGATATATTTTACACAACAAACAGTCATCAATATGTACCTTTCTTTCTTTCTTTTTTTTTATTGCCCTGCTATTAACATTCGAGATGCGCAAGAGTTAGACATTTTTCTTTTTTTTTTTTCTATAATACTTATTCGAGGAAGGAAAGGAAAGAAAAAAGAAAATGAACGATGAATTGTCGGTTGATGTTATAACGTAATGGAGAAGAGAGACACAAAGAGAAGGAAAAAAAAAAGAATACCGTCAAATAGTCTTTTGCATTTTTTTTTTACCCGCTGCCTTCCGCCGTAGTGTGCATTGGCCCATTTGATTTCATCGTCGTCAACAGTGAATATATATATATATATATTTTTGCGCTTTTTCTTTTTTTTCTATACAAGTGAAAAAAGTTATTACGAGTTATTTGCAACTATTCAATGATTAATCTTATGAAACTTATTTTAACAAGTTTATTACTTTGTCTTATAATAAATCAGGTTTATAGTGATGTAGACCCATTAATAGACGGTTAGAAATTAAATATATATATATATATATTATTTTATTTTTTGTTCATAATTATATTGATTTTATTTTAAATATTTATTTAGTACCAACATTTAACATTGGTTGTCCTACTGATTTATCTACTACATGTAATCTTCAATGTCCAAATGGAAATTATTTACTTGATGAAAATGGATGTTCAATATGTGCATGTGCTTCAAATGAAGGAAAACAATTAATATCTTGTCCAGAAATAAAATGTCGTGCAAATTGTGGTAATAATGGTTATCAATTAGATGAAAATGGTTGTCAAACATGTAAATGTATAATAAAAGAAAATATTCAATGTTCACGTGTTATGTGTCGTATGTTTTGTCAATATGGTTTTAAACGTGATGAAAATGGATGTGAATATTGTGCATGTAATGAATTACCACAAGAATGTCCATTATTAAAATGTATTCAATCATGTCCAAATGGTTATCGAAAAGATTATAGTGGTATAATTTTTTTTTGTTTTTTTGTATATTAAATATTCTATTAAAAATTATTTTTATTTAAGGTTGTCAAACATGTGAATGTAATGAACAACAAGAAAAAATTGATAATAAATGTTTACCATTAGAATGTAATTTAAAATGTAAATATGGTTTACAACGTGATGAATTTGGTTGTAAATTATGTGCATGTAATCGTTGTTCATTACGAACATGTCGAATGTTTTGTATGTATGGTTTTCGACGAAATGAAGATGGATGTGAAATTTGTGAATGTGATTGGACACCTGTATCAGATAAAATTCAATGTAGTGAAGTAAGATTTTAATATTTAGTTATTCTTAATAAATATATTAAGTTTATGATATCCTATTAGTAATATATCATACAAAACTTTTTGACTAGAAAGTAACTTCTAAATATTCAATTTGTTAATTATTTGAAAAATTTTCCATAAAATTCTACTGTCGGTATATCATGACACTCATTAATCGAGGAGACAAATGTTTAAGAATTTTGTGATAATTGTTCCATGGGATGTTATAAAAAGTAGGCAAACATCTAGGAAGTATTCATGTATATTGAGACAATTCTCAGAAGGATATACAATTAAGATCCTGCGGCATAATAGTAGTAAAATACTCGAAAAGGCACCCTGCTGAAAATCGACTGAATACATGGATGCCTTGAGCTACATACATTTATTAAGAATATTGTATTAATGTTTTTCTTTATAGAGAACTCCTTGTCCTGGTACTCGTGTTTGTAATATGAATTTAAGATTATGTGAAAAAGGTAATACAAAATGAAACACAAAAACGTTTTTTTTTTTTCATAATAAATAAATTATTATTATTTTTTAGTGGATCCGGATAAAGTTAATTGGTTTCTTTATGATTTTGAAATTGAAAGTGATATTTTTAATGATGAAAAATTTGTTCAAACATTTAAAAAGTAATTAAATATATTTTTATTCAGTTGTTTTTTTTTTTGTTTGTTTGATATTAAAATTTTTTTTGTTTTATTTAGTGGTTTAATTTATAATATTGCAAATAAATATGGTTTAGAAATAACACAAATAACTGTTTCATCAGTTCAAAAAAATGGTTTAACATCATTTCAAATAATGCCATTTTTTGCTGAAAATATGGAAGATTTTGAAAAAAAAATGGATCAAATTGATATTGATGTAATATTAATAAAAATGAATAGAAAATTAAAAAATTTATTTCTATTTTTTTTTTTTAGTTAAATTCTCATGAATTTCGTTCAGTTTTACCATCTGTTGTAAATGTAATTGATAATAATAATAATGAATATTCAACTAAAACTAATTTTAATAAATTATGTGAAAAATGGAGAAATTTTACACGTATGACTGGTAAATCTATGATTTGGATAATCGTATTATTACTTATATCTACTGGACTTGTTATTATTATTTTATATATTAATGTAAGTTTATTTTAATTTCTTTTTTTTTTTAACTAATTATTTGATGTCTTTTTTTTTTAATTCATAAAGAATCTTCGTCGACGTTTTCAATATGCAAATCGTTCGGATGTAAATAAAAATTTATTATAATTGTTTGTTAAAAAAAAAATAATAATATTTTTGAATTTCTTTTAGTCAAAATCACCAATATGCGATCCATTATATCATCAAGCACCAACAGAAGAAGATCATTATCCTACTGTACAGGTTTCTGATGGTACATCCTATTTTGGTATAGGATCTGATGATAAGAAAGTATCAAACGAAAAACAAGTATATGTTTAATTAATAATAAAGGAAGGAAAAAAAAGGAACTTTTGATATATTTTTATTCATTTCTCAATTTCGACGTATAAGTCTTTTTTTTTAAAATTCATCTTCATGATTTTTATTAATTCATTTTTAAGGTGATGTTTTTCTCGACTGTAAAGCTCATTTTTGTTTTTTTTTTTGCTTCTTATTCATTTATCATCGTGTATACATATTTATCTGAAGAGTATACACAGTGGAAACAACAATTGGACAGTTTTATCTATTGTATTTTGTTTGTTTCATGTTGTCATTTTTTTTTCATATCAAAATATACGTGATTTTTCAGTAGCATGAATATATAAGAGTTACCATTTAGAAATGATTAATAGAACTCAATTATTTTTCGTTCTAACAATCTGAATTTAACATGACCGGAAAATTTATTTTGGTGTCATTCGATAGTGGGTTTTTTTTTGCAAAGAAAATAATTTTCTACATATTGTTTTTTGCTATGGTAGGTTAAACAATGTAAGTAAGTAAAACAAATAGGATATTGTTATTTTCAAAGTAATTGAAAAATATATTTTAGTGGATTAATGTATGAAAAATAAAATATGAAAATATAATAAATAAATTCAAGTTATATACTATATTTAGTTTGAAACATAATGTCATCATGAAGAATCGATTCTAAATGATTTCTTTCGATATTATTGGATTTCTTTTTTTAATTATCTTTGTTTTTATTATATGTCACTGATATAAAAAAAAAAAAAAACTTATAAATATTATTTTCATGAAAATTTGCAACATATGATACTGATTTATTTATCTATCGGTGGAAATTATTTAAAAAAACAATGTAAGAAGTTTAAAAGATATTCAACTAAGATTAGATAGTTTCTTATAGAATGCTTATTGCAAAAACAAATAAGAAAATGTTTCAAAATCTCTTTTTTTCCATTAATTCGAAGATTAAAAACAGTATAGAAACAATAGGACATAAAATATTTTTACTCCTAATGAATAAAAAGCATTAGTGCTTATGTATTTTTCTTAAACGAAAGTCAAATATTTTATTATTAAGATCTGGGATTAGGAAGTAGAAAACCAGTTGCGCCATCTCTTGCAAATTAATGTCTTATCTTGACTGTAAGTATTGAAATCGGTTTATATCTGGAGAAAAATAACATTAGCAGAAGTAACCGAAACTCAAATTTGAATCATTCGATTAGTTTTGATATTCAAGTCAAAGTCAAATAACAGAGCAAATAAACTTCAAACTATTTAAAAATTCTACATAGTCATTAGTTTTTCATAATCTTTGATTCAATAATTAAGTTCGAAATCAGTCAAAGAAAAAAAACCAACACTCAGCAACTCTACAAGTCAAAAACCAGCTTAGGCATCATTGAGAGTCTTGCAAAACTGCCACCACATCCGGCAACGCTGACAAAATACGTCCTTTTAGCGATGATTAATCGATTATAATCGAAACATAATAAAATATATCGAAATTTCATTGATAATTCTGATTAATTTCAATTAAAGCCTATTTGAAATTATTAAAAAAAAATCATTTTTAACCAATTTCTTTATGATTATGAAATCGGTAGTAAATGAAAGTAATCAGAACAATCGATGAAATTTCGATATTCCTGATAAATTTTTGGTTATAATTGATTTATAATGGACTTTTTCGCATCAAACACGATACAGAATACTTGTTTCTAAAAAAAAATTAACCAACAAAAGTCGTTATCTGTATCACTATCTGAGTAGCCTACTTGAAAAACATGTCGCCATCGTCGCAAGTAAAATAGTTATCTTTTTCTTTCGTTTATCTTCTCGCCACACAATTCATATATGAGTCTCTTCCTTCTACTCTTATGTTGGTATTAAAACTCGTTCTACTGTTGATTATTCAGGGCAACAATGTTGCTCTTAATGATTTCAGAATATCTGACAAATGTTGCTCTTCAACATTTATCACACCTCATCATGTGCGTATTCAACATATGGACGTGAATACACATTCTGATATCGTTATTGATACGCATACACCACATTTCTCATGGCAATTAGCTAATGAATACGATGATGATGGACATTTGGTCAGAGGGATACAGCAAGTGGGTTATCACATTCTGGTACACGATGCTGTCACTAGTCAACTGATGTGGAATAGTAACTATGTGCATTCTTCGTCATGCTCACATATTCTTTATGCCGGTGTACGATTCAATTCTGATACGCGCTACACAGTAATGATCAAATACTACACGACACAACATGAAAGTCAATGGTACATGGCATATTTTCGTACTGCACTCTTTTCTATCAAAGACTGGACAGGTCAATGGATTGGTAGTAATGAAATTAATATGAATCAGTTACATACTATCGTCAATCTAAAATCGATCAGAATTCAGTCTGCTACTGCTTTCATCAGTGGTATTGGTTATTATCACTTGTATGTTGAAGGTCAATTGATTGATTCATCACGACGGCTAGATGTTGGCTGGACTACATACCAACAACGTACACTCTATGCTTCGTATGATCTCACTAAAATAATAAACAGTACTACGGAACAGATTGGCATCGGCATTGTGTTAGGGCAAGGCTGGTACAATCGACAGCAATGGGCGATTTCACTTGGTGCACACACTGCACTGGCCGAGCAATATGGTCCACCTCGTGTATTAATGCAATTGAATATTCACTATGTCGATGGTTCTGTTCAGTCAATTGTCACCGATTCTTCGTGGCTAGGTCGAGAAGGCGAACATCGCTTTGATTCTGTGTACATGGGCACAACAATGGATCTTCGAGCAACACTTTCTTGTTGGTCATGTGCAAATTTTACCAAGTCCAATTCATTGTGGATCAATGCTTCTACCTTGCCATCACCGGTAAATTTCACAGCTGGTGGTCAATTCTCATTACAAATGATGGATCCTATTCGTATCGGCCCTGATGCACTGCATATTGCAACTTCAGGTCATTCAGGTCTCCTCGCAGGAGTTCAGGGTGCTAGCCTTACTGATGGCGGTGTACTCAAGCCTATTTCTCAAGATTTCGTCAATGGTCAAGTATTTGATCTTGGTCAAAACTTTGCCGGTTGGTGTAAATTATCTTCATTAAATGCTACTAAATCTACCATCATCCAATTGCGTTATGCCGAACTACGATACTCACGTGGTGCAAATGGCATTGATTTTGCCGGATTGTACTATGAAAATTTAGATAGTATTGCTGTGATGGACACAGTAATCTTAAATGGAACAGGCAACGAAACATTCGAGCCTCTTTTTACTAGTCATGGTTTTCGTTATTTGTTAGTGAATGGCTATAACAATATCAATTCGAATGATGTCGAATGTTACAATGCTCATAGCGAGACAACATTAATCGGTAATTTTAGTAGCAGTAGTATTGTTTTGAATCAGATTCAGCATAATATTCTTTGGTCTCAGCTAAGCAATTCTATGTCACTGCCCTACGGTTGTCCTCAGCGAAATGATCGAACAGGATGGATGGGTGATGCCGGACTCAGTGTCGATGAAGCATTATATAATTTTGATTATGTCAACTTCTATTTAAATTTTCTAACTATGATCGAAGACAATCAAACTCCTGATGGTGCTGTCAGTGACACGGTGCCATTCATGACAGGTTTCATTCCTGCTGATCCAAACTGGGGTACAGCGTATGTAACTATTACTTGGTATTTGTATGAACACACAGGAGATGTTACTATCATAGAAAAATATTATATAGGTATTCAAGGATGGATTGATCTTTTGATTGACGAGTACAAGAAGACTGGATTAGCGAACATGTATTATCATTGGGGTGATTGGGTACCAGTGCAAAAAATCAAGAACAATTCACTGGTGTCTTCCTATGCTTTTCTCCGCGATGTGTACACATTCATCAAAATGAGTGAATTATTGAATCGGACCGATAATGTTCAGAAATATTCACAAATATATCAACAGTTGACTCAAGAATGGCATCATGTTTTCTATAATTCAAGTGTCAATGGTTATGCAGATGGAAGTCAATCAGCAAACATATTGTCTTTGGCGTTGTCCAATGTGGTACCTGAATCGCTTCGTGCTATTGTACTCAAGTCATTAGTCGACAGTCTCATGAACACTGGTTATTTTACTGGAGGTATTATTAGTGTAGCTGCCATGTATCCTCTTCTCTCCAAGGAAGGATACCATGATCTTGCTTTAAAACTTGCTTTATCAACCTCCTATCCATCCTATGGCTACATGTTTAACAATCCTATTCAAAATGCTACAACTACATGGGAACAATGGAATAGCTTGCCGACAGAAGCAAGATCATCGTTGAATCATCACATGTTTAACAGTATTGGTGCATGGTTCTATCGATATTTGGCGGGTATTGAGTTGAATGCATTGAACACGATCACTGTTCATCCAAGAATGTCCTATGCTGCTGATCTCTTGAACTATACCGAAGCAGAAGTAGTGACTATCAAGGGCAAAGTTCGAGTGCAATGGATGCGAACATCAATTGACTCCGTGATATTGTCAGTGACCATACCAAACAATATGAATGCAAATATCTTATTTGATCCATTGATCAAGAAAGGTCAATGTCTGAAACTAATGTGTGATGATGAAATAGTTTGGATGAGAGAATATCAAAATGATGAATTGCAATTGATTACAAATGTGCATGGAGTGAGTGATTTATTTGAAAATCACATAACAGGTACCATCTCTGTGAGAGTAACATCTGGTGAATATACGTTTACTGCATACTGGCAATGATATGTAAGAAACGAAGATTGCCATTGATTGACATCGAGAACCATAATTATTTCAATAAAACATTGCTTTATTCTGAAATTTTTTAAAAAGAAGAATCGAATCAAAAAATTTTCACCATCGAACTAATAAATAATTCTATATTATAAATTCATATCTCTTAGAAATAGGTATTGGTAAATGAAATCAGGAGAATTGGTTGTATTCTATCTATCAAGTTTATTCTTAAATAGACCTTTTCTCGAATAAGCATTACTCGAACTAATTGAAATTTCGTAGCAAACCTGATCGATCTTTGCTGATCGAAGTGTGATGTGGGAGTAAAACAAAATAAAGTGTGTTGGAGTTGTTTTTTTCTTTCATTATGAATAGAAAACATTCACAAAACTAAGGTGTACAACTCACATTTCGTAACACAGGATTGAAATCAATATCATTCATTCGGTTGTGCACTTCTTTGTGTTACATCGTCTTAAGAGAACGAATCTTATGAGATTTTCGAAAATTTCCACATTTTTCTTTGATGGAAGAAAGAAGACGTAGGTGCCATATTCATTCATCGCTCTTACACAGTCTTCTAGTTTTACGTTTATCAATCCTTAAACAGTAGTGTCCATCTATTAGCTGTTACTTTGTTTATATGGAGAAAGATAATGACCAAAAATAAATTTAAGTGACAGATCCAACATGGTTCAAATAACGATGATCTCTGGTTCGAACTATGAATTGAAGAGTAACAGTAATTCATCCATAGAAACCTCAAATTCGAGAGACAATATAGAGAAAACTTGTTCGTGTTTGATTTGTGTATAATCAGTGACTAGAGGAACATTGTTCATAGAATGATGAAATCTATACATTGATTGGCCATTCTTCAATAAACAGTTCATCGAAAAGAGTCTGTATTGAAGTATTCGTCGAAAAGTGTCTTCGCAATGATGAATTCATTACATTGATTAGTGAGTGTACACAATCTTGGATTTGTTGTATTTCCATAATGTTTAATCAAATCAATAAACATTTAATTGTAAAAACCTTCAAGAGTTGATCTCAATACTGTTTCTACTGTTGAACAGTCGACATTCCATCCTGATACAGAAAAATAGAGAATATTTGAGTAAGAATCGAAAATTTTACTTGTTTCAATACAATCACGTTGAATTCCACATGAACATCCGTCTTTCGTTATAACAGGATATATAGGATATGTTACGAATTGTGGGAGTAATGTTGGGTGTGTGTGTGTCTTGTAATTTCGGTGATGATGAATCATCGAATGACATTTAACATTAATTTATTAAAAATAGTCCTATTGATAGATGAACGTTAACATACAAAAACTTTATTTGAATACTCAATGAAAACCAAGCAACGATTTAACAGTATGTAATGATGAATAGTTACATTTAGGGTGTGGGTGTGGGTGTGGATGGGTGGGGATGAAAAGAAGATCTGTACCTATACTCACACTCATCAACACCCACATCCATACTCACACCTAGATTCACACCCAAGAAATTCTTTCTCAGTCTTCAGGTGTATTTGGCTCTTTGAAGATGTTCAAACGCAGAAATTGAAATTATTTCGGAGTCGTTCAAATAATTAATCTTTTCTCGTTTCATTGGCCATTTTTCTGCTATTTAGCAAGGTAGAAGTCATTGCATTATGGATGGTGTCAATTTCTTTTGTATACTGGAAATTCAGTCTTATTAAATTGTATTTATCTGTTTGGTCTTTCACTCAGAAGATGATACTTTTTGGAATAGAATTTGGAGGACCAAGGTCGATATCATAGGTATAGTTTTTTTCTTCATACTAACATTTTCAATATTGAAAGGCGTTTCAGCATCACTCAGTAAATAACGGCGATATTCACTGGTTGTTACTAAATCATAAAATGAGACATTCGAATTCTTATAAAAGTCAGTACAATGAATAAGGTACTCATCATGATCAAAGTTAAACCGAGCATGATAGGCATCATGTTGTATCTATGAATGAAAACGGAGGAAAAAGAATGATCTACTGATCAATTGATGTTATATTCGGAATGTTGGATAGGTGTGGATGTCTGTTGTTCATGTATTTCTAGATTGTGGCACTTCGAAGAATAAACTAAAGGTATTTTTTGTTATTTATGGATATAGTATCCGTCTCGTGCTCTGATCCATCTCATATTTAACAATCTTGGACGTCATAATAAAATTTGACAGATTCTTTTTAAGAACCTGATTAATGTTTTGAATAGTGTTGAATGAAATTCTTTGCTCTTTTGTAAGTAAAAACGACACACATTTATTTGACAATGTATAGATTGTCTTTTGGTGAAAACCGATGTAGTTAATCGTTCGTGGTTGCTGTCCAATTCAAAAAATACGAATGACTATAGATATTTATCTTATTATATTCTTGAGTAACTGTATGCATATAGCTATACAGCTATTCGGAGGTACTCAGCTTTGTTTCAAGGGAACAGATTAATCTTCTTATCAACTGCAAAGAACATTAATTCATTTTGTTGGCGTTTCTTTCAATTGTATGAACATTGATATCTAAGTTTGTCCTTCAAATTTCTTTCTTACTGCGCACAAAACATATTTTGATAAGATTTTTAGAGTTTATCTCTACCATGATAAACTATAATTAACTTTTTGATATAAGAACAAATCGTCTTATTCAAACTTACCAAAGAATACTTTATAATATGTCGTAGATATAACCTCGAGAACTGCTTAAATTAATCAACGTCATCGCTTTTATATAAAAATCAAAAGTTACATACGTTTAGTTGATTCAGTGGAATAAAGCAGACAGAAATTCTTTCGTTTAAATGTCAGAGAGATTGGAGTACGAATTTCAATTCATGGCATATTCCTACAAAAAAATTATGTTTCACTTAGAAATAGCTTTTGTTTAAGAACAAAAAACTTGAAAGTGCGAGTGTGGATAACCATGATCACTCCTAACTAATTACACACCCAAACTCATGAGGGTCTCATTGGTACATATACATTTCAGTGAAAGTAACGTTAAAGAATTGAATATATATAAAAGATTGTGATATTAATAATTAAAAGTATATTATTTAATTCATCTGAAGTTAGATGACTTCATCATAATAACTCTATAGTCAGAAGTGAAACATCAGTTTAGATTGTGCTTTCAAGAGAGACGAATCAATTTCTACTAGTAAGATTTGAAATCATTCTAAACTGGAGCTAATGATAATGTGCAGCTTGAACGACCATCTTGTATTTTAATAAAACTAGAATTAATTCTCTTTATTACACTTTGCATTGTGAACTTCTTTTTTTTGTGCCCTCCATTCATCTTAAAAATAGTATTTATTCAAGATCATTCAAAGCTTTTACTTTTCTATTGCGCACACAGAAAAAAAAAGAACACAAAAAAAAAAACTGCTGATAACGATGACTATTGTAGTTCGCATGATGAAATAACGATAGATATGGCCAAGTAATCTTCATTATATTTTTCTTTTGTTTCTCATTTCTTTTTAAATATAACACATTTGAAATAGTCTGTCATGGTTCATTATTCGATTTTCATATGGTCTTTGCTTATCATAACGACTGCTTCAAAAGAAAATGCTGATTTTAATATCTATGGTTCGACAGCCAATGGATGGGAATTTGTTAAGGACTTTTTGAAAGAAAATTTTCTTGAACAACGAGATTTAGGTGCATCCGTAGCAATATATCATAAAGGAAAACTAGTTGTTGATTTATGGGGTGGATGGTTCGATCGAACACAAGTAAAACCCTATGATAAGGATACATTACAATTAGTATTTTCAACATCGAAAGGTTTAGTAGCTGTAGCTGCTGCACTTTGTGTTCAACGTGGTCTACTTGATTATTCAGAATTAGTAACAAAATATTGGCCAGAATATGGAGTCAATGGCAAAGAAAATACAACTGTAGCTGATATTCTTTCACATCGTGCTGGATTACCTTTTGATTCTTCACCGTTTGAACAATTTTTTAATTGGACAGCAATGATCCATACATTAGAACAACAAAAACCAGTATGGCCACCTGGAACAACACATGGTTATCATGCATTGACATTCGGTTGGCTAGCTGGTGAACTTGTTCGACGTGTTGATCCAATGAAAAGAACTTTAGGACAATTTATTCGTGATGAAATTGCAACTCCTTTAAATATTGAATTTTATATTGGTTTACCATCTGAACAAGAATATCGAGTCTCACCAATAGATTACAAACCATATGGAAATGGAACATTAAATCAATCATTACCTGATTCCTATGAAACATTTAATAATAAGAGTACACATCAAGCAGAAATTCCAGCTGCTAATGGAATAACCAATGCTCGATCTATAGCAAGACTTTATGCATCTTTAATTGGTGATGTAGACGATAACAAATATAAACGATTAATAAATGAACAAATCTTAAAACAGGCAACTAAATCAAATACACCTGAACATGAATTTGATTTTGTAATACACTTTCCTACCAAATTTAGTATGGGTTTTATACTTATGGATGACATTTTTCCATTATTCGGACCTGGAGTATTTGGTCATAATGGTTATTTGATTTATTTTCATTTATTTTTTTCATTGAATACTTTTTTAATTTTCAAATTTTAGGAGTTGGAGGAAGTATTGGTTTTGTTTCACCAACAAAACAGTTTTCATTTGCCTACGTTATGAATCGAATGGGTGCTGAAATAGCCATTGATGTTGATCCACGTTATAAATCAATGTTAAACAAAATTTCAACTATGATCGATACTAATGCAAGTGTTCAAAAAAGACTATCTTCATATTTGTTATTTTTATGTGCTAACCTATTTTTCTATAAAGTTTATTTCTGAATACTATGATTCAAGGTCAATAAGAAATTCAACTTATATTTTTGTTATTTTTATCAAAGATTTGTTTAAATTAGATACATGTTTATCATAAATTTCATGTATTTCGATTAAATTTTTATCTAACTACGAATAAATTT